TGAAGAAGTTGTTGGAGAATGCATAACCATTTGCATTTGACGGAGAAAACGAAATCCAATAAAAGCTGCTAAACCTCGAGATGAAGAAGAAGAAGAAGAACAGGCGACCAAAAAGCTTTCTCGTTTGTTGCCATCATCATCTTCATCTTCATCATCGATTTTTCTGTGTGTTTTTCGAATTTCTTCGTCTTCCAGGTTTTTTTTTTTTGGGCCTATTTGTCAAACCCAAGCCCTTTCATTTCGTAACTCCATAGAATCACACATTATCTATACTCATGGCATAAAGAGTGAGTAGAATTTACTTATTTTTAAATAATATAATGAAGTATATTTTTAAAAAAAAATATGTATTAAGTTATTATTATAAATAGTAAATATACGAAAACAAGAAATCAAAAATTTATTGATAAAAAATCTCCGAAGCCAACCCAAACCAAATGGAGAAATCACCCCCACCCATTGAACCCGATTAATATGGGGCAGAGATGGGAGAGATACAACCATGTGATTTTTCAATATTCAAATTATTTTATTATAGTAATCAAGATGTCACGAGTTTAATTTCTAGCAAAATTAGGAACACTGGACTTCTTCACAACTTGCCGTTTATTCTAAGGTCGGCTCCCCTTTTATCTAACGCTAACAACTAACAACTAATCCTATATTGCTAGTAAAAAATAATTATATTCATGAACAAATATTCAGTTCAGATAAAACAAGTTCCAATATCCTTGAACATGATCTCACAAATTCGCCAATGAACATAATTTGATTCAACCACAGCTAAAACAAGTACATAATTTGAATCTAATTCAATGCTAAAGAACAGATTTAGCAAGATAATGAGTCTAGACGAAAAATGGAATTAACATTTTTTTTTTTTTTTTTCCATACAAGGCCTAGAAAAACCGCCAAACTCAAGAATAATTACAAAGAGAAGCACTTACTCTCATTCAACAGCTTTTGCCTTTTGGTTAAGCAATGTCTTTAACCATAGGGTGTTTAAAGTAATTTACCCTCAGAGGAAATGTAGAACCATATATGGTGCTGTAGCCGATTAGCTGGTTCAGCAACAGGAGCAGCAAGAGTATCTATTCCACGAATCAAAGTATTGGCAGCATCTTTAGAAGGGGAAGCAGGCTTGTTCTGGCAGCACTCACAGCGACAATAGGTCTCTGTGTAGGCATAGGAAAATGGAGGGAAAATTCCGGGGCAAGTCTAAAACATACACAATTTGTCGATTTCTACGCAAGTGTTTGTGCTACAAGTTTTGATCCATGGATAAAGATTAAAGACGACCAGGATTATTAGATATTTGTGCAAGTGTTGACCCATATTCTGTGATGCAAAACATTAAGATTTTAAATTTAACAACAAATTTCGGAGCAAAAATATAACATAACGATTCAATAGAACTTCGAAGGGAAAAAAGAGAAGAAAACTGTAAGTTTCATATACCGACAAGTATATAATAGTGTATGCGACCATTATATTTTCAAAGTTAAGAACAAAACAAAAACTGAAGAGGGCCAACCAGGAAATTCATGGGATAACAAACTCCAAATTCACCAGAAAGGAGTTTAATCCAATAACCAGCACATCACTGGTCAAGTAGTATATCAAAGTTACAAAGTTCAAGTAGCAGCAAACCTATTCTGTAAGATAAGAAAAACACATGGAAAGAACACTATTAAGTTGTAACCATGTTCTGACTATTTCTTTAATTGCACCTTTCAGGTTTGAAAAATAATCAAAAAGCTTCATGTCGTAAAGCGACAGATTATAGCAGCATTAGTTGTAATAACAACACAACTCCTGAAAATCTAAGATTTGTGGATTCTGATAAAACTATAGCAAAGGCGTCACAGATGAATTCACATGAGAGAAACAGAGGAAGCTAAGTGATAGCATTTGCTTATGTTATCCACAAAAGAAGGAAAAAGAGAGGCTTGCTGCTGTGGAAGTACTTTAACGCATTAAGATTTTGAATAAGACAAAATACAGGTACAAGTATGGTTGTATAGTACAGCAGCAACAGGTAAAACAGATAAGTCTTGTTCACTTTGCAGAGGTCGATGCATCAGCACCAGGACAAACCTGGCTTCAAACCTGCCTCCTCCTACTTTATTTTTCTGAGAAAATTTAACAACAAAGGTTGATAACAAGAAATTTTTTTGCAACGCATCAAGCTTGTTTGTGGTATTTCGGGTAAGTCCGCCGATCTGTCAAACTTATAATGCAGCTACCAACAAATACTATAAATCCATCAACCTATCATACTTATAATGCAGCTACGAAACAATACTGAAGAGAATATAAGAGAAATTGCACCTTGCTGCTTCGTAAAACTACTACAAACATTTGCTAAAACAACCACATTGGCGAACTCAGATTAATTCAAGATGACGAAAATTTACACAAGTTTAATCACTAATAAGAAAATTAAATAGCTTTCACCAATTAACTCTATTTCACACTTATTTATAGACTAGCATAAATGTTCATGTATAACCAGGAAGAGTTGAATTCTAGTCCAAAACCGGTAACTAATGACTATTTTGATTTGTTAAACAAAAGCAAGTGAATGGTGTCATTGTCCCCATTTTGACAAGATTGAACTAACAATAACTTACACAGTGAAAAAATGCTACCTAATATTCGCCAAATGAATTAGCAGCATGTAAGATTTACATTACCTTTTCACCTTGACGAACTGCACATAAGCCTAGATACTCCTTCAGGACAAGATTTCCTTGATAAGATAACATATCTACAGCCAAGGCTCTGGTGCTCGCATCTGTAACGAAACCTCTGTCTCTCATTTCACGAATAAGCTGCATTGCCTCTGAATCATTCTTGTGCTGGAGAAATCCTCGGATGATGGCATTATAAGACCATTCATCGGGAGGATAGCCAACCTCTTCCATATTCGGAAAGCTTTATATGCTTCGTCTAGCAATCCTTCTTTGCAAAGTCCATTTATTATTGTAGTATATAGCCGGACATTAGGCTGCAACCCTTCGACGCATAGTTCTGAAAAAAAGTTCCCTTGCTTCTTTAAGCTTTCCAGACTTGCACATGGAATGAATAAGGATATCATACATCACCAAATGAGGCTTCAGTTAATTATTTTGCATGGTTCTAAAAAGTCTCAATGCCTGATCAAGAAACCCTTGTTTGCAAAAGCCATCAAGCAAAGTTAATAAGTTATCAAATTTGGAAGGTGTCCATGACAAAGAATATTCTTGAAAAGTTGTTGTGCTTCCTTCAGTCTCCCAGCTTGGCACAACCCATTTAGAAGAGTGTTGTGACTAACTCTATCCGGAATTACGCCTTGATGACTCATGTCATCAAAAAGTAGCTTGGCCTCGTCTAACTTGTTGGCCTTACAGTATCCGTTGATTAAGATGCTATAACTATAAACATTAGGTATGCAACCCTTGCTTATCATCACATCAAATATTTTTCTAGCTTCAACAATTTCTCTTCGCAAGCAGTGTCCGGCCATCAATGAACTGTAAGTGATAACATTAGGCTGCACACCCATTTCAGTCATCGTTTTTAAAATACCTCGAGCCTCTGAAACCTTGCCTTCTTTACAAATTCTATCAAGGTAACAATATTTGGCATGATATTCAAACTCTCATTTCCTTTAGAAATGCTGAAGCCTCTTTCCATTGGCTGAAATTGCAAAGCCCTAGATTAAAGAGTTGTCAGTGACAACATCAGGGGCAATGCCCTTACCCTTTGTTTCAGAGAAGATAAACTGCCGACATCCTAACTAATCTGATTTTACTTTAGAAGAAGTTATGGGCTTATGGCCCCTTTGAACTTCAAACTCTCTTCTGTCTTTCCATCTTTGGGCCTATTTGTATAATCCAAACTCTTTCTTTCTATAACTCCATGGAACGTTAATTCATTTAGATTTTTTAACTAGCAGACGATCATGTACGTTGTTGTAAATTTGTTTATTAAAAAAGTTTTGATTTGTTAAATTAATTCACATTAAAAATAAAATATAATAGAATTAATTTCAAGCAACATTTTTCTCAAAAAAATTAGACCAAAATTGTTTTTAGAAACATTATTATGCCAAAAATTTAGGTTAGTTTATTATTAATTAAAATTTGATGAAATTATGCAACATTATTCCACCTGGTTCTTATATCAGTAAATTATTTTGATTTTCAATTTTATAACACTAAATTTGAAGTTCCAAAGTTGTTTTTTTTTTTTTTTTCCAAAACATAACTCGAATTGCAAGCTTTATTAAAAATTTAAATCGAAATTTAACAACTCAAGAAAAAAAATTATTTCAATCATTTAATCAAAGAGGATGATCAACCTTTTCATTTTATTATATTTTCTTATTTGTCTCGTTGTATTTATTTATTTATTTATAAATTTTAATGTTGTATGATTATTTTAGATTTTATTATTTTGGAATCTTATTGTTTATTATCTAGCTTTTAAATTATGATTTTAATCTTCCTTATTGAATTAAAACTTACTAGGTTCTTCCTATTTTAATTATTTGTGTGTCTTTCTTAATTTTGTCTTATCGAATAAATAGCTGAAAATAGAAAATTAAAAAAAAGTAGGAAAAAAAGAAAAAGAAAAAGAAAAACACGCTCTATTTAAGATAAGAAGAAAACCTCATGTTGTCGTCTTCTTCACATCCTTAATCATTCTCAACTCCAACAATCCTAACCAAGCCCTTCAATTTTTCAACTATGCTTTAAAACACGACCCAATAACTTCTCCAACCAGCAATCTTCCTCACCTCTATTCAGCCATCATCCCCATGTCTTAACGTGTGCCGGAAGGTACAAGCTTGCCAGGTGCTTGATCAAAGCCCTCACCCAAACCTTCCTCCTCCATCCATCCTGCAAATTCAAAAACCATTTCCTGCTTTAGTTTTCGATGCTCTTATTGATTTACAAAACTCTGAAAAAATCACTCTTGATGTGTTTGGAGTGCTCATTATTGCATTTTGTGAGATGGGTCTCGTTGATGACGCCTTGTGGATGTATCAAAAGATTGTTAAAGTAATGCCCCCTTTAGAGCAAGCTTGTAATGTGCTATTACATGGGTTGATTAAGAAGGGTAGGTTTGATTCCATGTGGGAATTATACAGGGGCATTGTTTCGTGCAAGGTACTGGTTGGTGCTTGTCGCCAAGGTGATGTTTCATAAGCTAGGAGTTTATTTTTTATGAGATGGTGTAGGAGAAGGGGATTGGACCAAACGATGTTATCTACAATGCTCTTATCCGTGGTTTTTGCAGTGAGAGTAAATTGTCTGAAGCTGAAGCTCTGTTTCAACAGATGCGGGAATCTGGGTTTTTGCCAGATTTGTATACTTATATAACAATCTGATAGATGGTTACCTGTAATAATCTAATATTTTATTTATTTGGGTAATTTTTGCTCTTTAATAGAAATAACGTCCAATGAAATTTCTCAGGGTATCAAGCATGGAGAGTAAGTCAAGCCACCCAATGGCAGCTGCACTTGTCGATTTTGGAAGAACACGTTCTATAGAACCGAAGCCTGAAAATGTGAAAGAATTTCAAAATTTTCCCAGAGAAGGTATTCATGGAAAAATTATTAGAGAAAGCGTCTCTACTCACGACGTCGTTATGACATTTATTAGAGAAAGAAGAAAATGGCAACAACATGACATTTTCTTCTAATCTTAAATAGAGCATGTCTTTCTTTTCTTAATTTTTCTACTAATTTTTCTTCTTCTTCTTCTTCTTCTTCTTCTTCTTCTTTTTTTTTAATCACATGGCAAATTATTCTACATGGCACGCCATGTGAATTTTTTTATGCCAAGCGTCCATTTCAATCGGAAAATTTACAAACGAAGCACCAAATTAAGAAAAATTCAAGAGTAGGAGATAAATAAAATAAAAAAAAATATTGAAGTCATATTAAGAAAATTAGACGAATAGAGAGATGTTTAATGCGATTACTTTTGATGATCGTGTTCTGTTAGTTCTACATCATTCTCACTCTGCATAATGAATGGTTAAGCAACCTATTTAAATGACAAAAAAAGAATTAAATTGTACGAATACTGGTGGGTGTATCACCAAGCGGTGGCTGGTTCATGGGTTGTCGGAGCTTGCTCACCCTGTTCGGCAGCAAGGGCATCTATTTTGACGAATCGAGTGAGCCACTGTTGGCAGTACCTTTAGAAGGTGAAGCAGGCTTGTTTCCAGAAGCACTCGTTGCTGCATTAGATGTTGACGTTCACGTAGACGTAGGAACTTTCCCATCATTGGCACCCTGGCCATCTCTGGCAGAGTAGCGGGATGTGTGGGAAATTCTACCATCTCCCTGTTCTAGGCTTTCCTAGTTTCGCAATTTTGTTGCATTTCCCCGCACAATACTTGTTTATACTTTTCGGCTTCATTGATTGTTTGATTCTTCTTCTTCGCTCTTTTCTACTTCCTCTCTAGATGAACAGCAGTTTTCCTGCAGAAATGCTTATCAGTAAACGAATTTTATGCAAGATGTTTATCCACAATCTACAGATTTCAACCTCAACTTTCAGGCAATAAATGGGAAAAATAATGACGAAGTTCCTGAAAGACATGTACACTTGAAATTTATTCACCACACTCATGAAAAAAACATCATTCATCACACCATGGATAATTCACCATATCAATGTAAGTTTGCCGTTCTTAGAGCTTAATGTGATCTCTTCCATGCTCATTTCCATAGGAAAGGACCCAAAAAAACAAAAAAACAGAAATACCACAGTGGTATATAGGATAGCCGATCAGGAGCCAAACACATTTGTCTAAAAAGATATATGGATTCTGATAAAACAATAGCGAAAGCACGAGAGAAACAGAGGAGGCTGAGTAATAGCATTGGCTTATGATATCCACAAATGAAGGAAAAACAGAAGCCTGGCATTATGAAGGTACTTCAAGGTCTTTCCAAGAATGAATCAAAGAATTACCAACCCATCTAGGCACTATGGTTTTGAATAAGCCAAAATGCAGGTAGACATATGGCTGGCTGTACAACAGGAACATGTAAATTAAAGAAGTCATGTTTACTTTGTGAAGATCGATGCATTAGCATCAGGGGCGACCTGGTTGCAAATTGCCTTCTCTGTACTTTTTCGAAAAAACATCTTTTCAGAGAGGATTTCTTTATATATTTTGTTTGAAAAAAGACCAGCTGCAGAAATGATAAGCTAATCAAGGGCAGAAAGATTGAGACTAAATGCGTCATGGAATATATGCAGCGCAGCCCAAATATCGCTACAACATCACAAACTAGAAAACTGGAATCTCAACAAGAAATGGGTCCAGCTTACTATACACTAGTTATACCATTCAAATAAAGTCAGCTAAAAACCTACAAGTTTAGAACATATTGATTCAGCAGTAAAAAGCACCATGGCCACTTGGACACCGAAACATCATTTGTCAAAAACAAAAGTGCAGGATGCATTAGCTAGAAGTGTAACACAAGCCTAAAGCCCAAAAACAATGGACGTTAGCATAGAGTCCAAACATGAGAAATAGCAGTGATTGCAGCAAGCAGGATAGCATACCAATAATTCAAAATAGCTAATCCCACCCAAGGATCTAAACATAGTATGCGCAGAGGAAATGAAATGCAAGTAATCACACTAGTGGCATGTGATGGTGAATCAAGAACAAATATCAGCAACTTTAAATAACCAGCTGCAACATCTCTATGGCAGAATTAGAAACAAAAAATAATGGGAAACAACAGGTAACATCTCAAGAAACAATAACAGAACAGCAGAATTAAAGGTTCTAGCACATGACTGGTCAAGTAGTACATCTAAGTTACAAAGCTCAATTAGCAGGAAAGATAATCTGGCAAACAAGACAGGCACAAAGAAAGCACGCTATTAAGTTGAAATCATGTTCTGAATTTTTCTTTAATTGCAACTTTCTGGTTTGACAAAATAATCAAGAAGCTACATGTGAAAAATAGACACTGCTTATAGCAGCATTAGTTGTAATGAAAGCACAACTCCTGAAAATCTAAAACCTGTGGATTCTGATACAACTATAGCAAAGGCATCACAAATGAATTCACATGACAGAAACAGAGGAGGCTAAGTAATAGCATTGGCTTACGTTATCCACAAAAGAAGGAAAAAAAGCAGCTTGCTACTACTGAGGTACTTTGAGGTCTTTCCAATTATGCACACACCAATTATCAGCCCTTCTATGCATTAAAATTTTGAATAAGCCAAAATGCAGGTACAAACATGGGTGTGCAGTAGAGCAGCAACAAGTAAATCAAATAAGTCTTGTTCACTTTGCAGAGGTGGATGCATTAGCATCAGGACAAACCTGGCTTCAAACCTGCCTTCTCAAATTTTATTTTTCTAGAAAAATTAGCAACAAAGGATCATGATGAGAAATTTTTTTGCAACACATCAAACTTATTTGTGGTAATTCGGGTGAGTCCACAAAGCTGTCAAACTTATAATTCAGCTACCAACAAATGCTATAAATCCATCAGCCTATCGTACTTACAAGGCAGCTAGGAAATAATACAGAAGATAAAATAAGAGAAATTGCACCGTGCTGCTTCCTAAAACACATCACTACTTTCCAGCTTCAATTAAAATTACTACAAACATTTGTGAAAACAACCACATTTGTGACTGCATATTTCTTCACACAAATGATGCCAACCATCCAATGACAATAAAAATCAGATCAAATTTCCCCCTTCAAACTCCACTAGCTAGTCTGCTGTATCATTATCATCACCACATGGTCAATTTCAATTGTACAACACTGCAAACCAAGATTTAAGGCTCTTTTCTATATAATATACCATACATATCCAACAAAGAGAATGCATACAAACCCAAGTACACTAACAGAGCAAAATATCCAAAAACCAAAACCAACAAGCAAACTATCCAAAACTCACCATTGCTGCTTGCATATTTATTGTTTTTCCATTTGCAGAATTGGGAGTAGCATCAACCTGCATCCAGGCACAGTAATTGAGAAACTTGTAGATACACTAGTGCTTAAATTATGTGTCTTGTTTGCTTGAAGAAAAGCATCCAAGTCATCCAACATGATGAAAATTTACGCAAGTTTAATCCCCAATAAGAACCTTGAATAGCTTTTATCACTTAATTTTATTGCCCACATATTTATAGACAAACATAGATGTGCATGTAGAACCCCACAAGAGGTGAATTCTAGTCCAGAACAGGTTATTAATGACTATTTTGATTTGCGAAACAAAAGCAAGTGAATGGTATCATTGTCCCCATTTTGACAAGATTGAACTACCAATAACTTACGTGGTGGAAAAAGCTACTTAATATTTGCCAAATGAATTAGCGGCTTGAAAAATTCACATTACCTTTTCACCTTGATGAACTTTACATAAGCCCACATACTCCTTCAGGACAAGATTGCCTTGATTAGTTATCAGATCTACCGCCAAGGCTGTGGTGCTTGCATCTGCAACGAAACCTCTGTCTCTCATTTCGCAAATAAGCTGCACTGCCTCTGAATCATTCTTGTGCTGGAGAAATCCTCGGATGATAGCATTATAAAGCTGTTCATCTGGAGGGCAGCCAACCTCTTCCATATTTCGGAAAGTTCTGTGTGCTTCGTCAAGCAATCCTTCCTTGCAAAGTCCACTAATTATTGTATTATATAGCCGAACATCAGGCTGCAACCCTTTGACAAAGAGTTCTGAAAACAGTTCCCGTGCTTCTTTAAGCTTTCCTGATTTGCACATGGCATCAATCATGATATCATACATCACCAAATCAGGCTTCAAGTAAGTATTTTGCATGGCTTTAAAGAGTCTCAATGCCTGATCAAGAAACCCTTGTTTGCAGAAGCCCTCAAGCAAACTTGTGTAAGTTATCAAATCTGGGCGGTGTCCATTACATTGCATATTATTGAAAAGTTGTTGCGCTTCGCTAAGTCTCCCAGATTGGCACAACGCACTTAGAAGAGTGCTGTAACAAACTGTATTTGGAATGAAGCCTTGATGACTCATTTCGTCAAAAAGTTGCTTGGCCTCATCTAACCTGTTGGCCTTACAGTATCCATTGATTAAGATGCTATAACTATAAACATTAGGTTTATACCCTTTTGCCACCATCCCATCAAAGAATTCCACTGCTTCAGCAATTTTACCCGCTTTAGATAGCCCGTTAATTAAGATAGAAAATGTCACAACAGTAGGCTCAAAACCAAGTTTAATGATTTTGGCCAAGACGGAGAACCCATAATCGACACGTTGCAAATGGCAGAAGCAATTAATCAATATAGAAAGAGTATAAACATTATGAGAAATTCCAGCTAATTCCATTTGTTTGGAAAGAGAAAGCACAGTCTCATAATGTCTCATTCTAACAATTGCAGACAATAACTTACTAAAGTCGACAATGGAAGGCCGAGGATGCATACGAATCATGTGATTGAAGGAAGCCAACACATCATTTATGTTTCTAAGAGAAACCCCATTTTTGCTAGTGGTAGAAGAAGTAGAACAGGAAATGGAGTGGGAGTTGTTTGGGAAGAGTAATGAAGTAGTTGGAGAAGGCATAACAATTTTCATTTGGCGGAGGAAATGAAATCCAATAAAAGCTTCTAAACCTCGAGATGATGAAGAAGAAGAAGCAGCTACCAAAAAGCTTTCTCGTTTCATTGCCATCATCATCATCGATTTTTTCCTGAGTTTTTCAAATTTCCTCCTTTTTAGGTTTTTCTTTCTTTTCTTTGAAAAAAGGACCCAAACTCCAGACATCCTAACCATGCTGTTTTTACTTTGGGAGAAGTTATGGGCTTAGGGCCCTTTTCAACTTCAAACTCTCTTCAGTCTTTCCATCTTTGGGCCCATTTGTATAATCCAAACTCTTTCCTTATGAGAAAATAGTCGTCATTCCATGAAAGGTTGAATCAATAGTAATTGGTATAGAAATACAAATTAAAATAATTCTTGAATTCTATATTTTTTTCCATAAATTAGATATTTGAAATGTTAAATTACTTATATATGTCAAAATATTTTCTTCAAATAAATAGGTAAAATTTTTCTTTTAATTTATTTAGTTTTTAATTAGCAAACCACCCTGCACATTATTGCAAATTTACTTATTAAACACAAACGTAATACAATTAATTTCAAACAACGTTTTTCTCAAAAGAATTTAGACCATCATTGATTCTTTTAGCAACATTATTGTTCCAAAAATTTAGGTTAATCTGTTATTAATTAATTCAATTGGATGAAATTGTGCAAAAAAAATTCTATTAAAAA